GCAATTATTAAGTTCGAATTCTCCGCTTGTGCTTTGATGTGTGTTAGGCGCACTCTCAATGGCAGGGAAATCACCAGAAACATCAGGTGAAACAATACAATCGGTGAAATTACTGACAAGTTCAAGTTCTAAAACAAGAGGACACGCTTTTACTGGAATATACTTAAACTGATTAAATAAACCAAGCATCGGTTTAAATCCGACAACCATTTCAGACGTAAAGCCTGGGATTGTTTCAGCGTTATAAGTTTTTCCAATAGTGCCAGTTGTAGGGTCAGCAAAACGTTGTGCCAAATCGTCATCGTATCTATAACCAAAACTTTGCGCGTCTTCATTGTCCCTTGCTCCCTTTGACATCAAACAACTCATCATATGATGGTTTCTATTGTAGTAGTCAATGTCTTCAACAAGTTGATTACCAGCAATTAATCTTGCCCTTCTGAAAAAGCAGTAAGCAGGAGATAGAGGTAGTAACCGTTTGTTGCTTGTATTTTCCTTGTTCGAAACATTGAAAAACACCATTACCGATTGAGGGTCTAACCAACTATTATCTTCTGCATTTAATGCGATTTTCAATACACGATTTCCAGACGAAGGTTTATAAATATTTGAACCTGATGGGAAGAATGAAACGCTACGGCGCTCATTGATATAACTTGCCCCTTTATGTAATTTGAATGAGAGGTTGTCAATTAGAATATCTTCAGCACTAAAAGTTTCCATTACTATATATAATTTAATTTAGAAATAATTTATACTAAATTAAATAATTTAGCGTAATCCTTTTGATTAGAATTATGATCTTTAAATATTTTCATTTTCTTTTTCTTAATCTTATCTTCAACTGGATTATTGCCTTTGTCGCGAATGCTCGCGAGGCTTCTTGCCGAAGCGTCTTTCTCTAAAACAATCTCTCTAATTTCATCATATGAACTTTTCTTATACTTTGTATTTTCATTCTTAATCATATCATCTGTTGTTTCATTGTCATATGTCTTATGTTGTATCATAATAATAATATGAAAATAGTTTTGCGTTTTTTTCTTTTTACTATTTCATCAAGGTCTGATTGAGTGTGATTACAATTGTTAGTGTTGTCATTGATGAGGACATAACCATTTATATATTTTGGTACGAACATATTATAAATTGAAATAATCCAGTTATAATCAATATAGTCAGGTCTAACTCTGACACTCCTAATAATGAAACACCCACACTGACATTTTACATGTGTTCGTTTATTATCTCTATTTAAATCCCTTAATCTTTCTACAAGTGTTAATGGTTTCAATGTTGTTTCACTTTCTGTCAAGTTTTCTTTTAACTGATTATACATATATGATACTATATAATTATTTATTTAACTATTTATTTATTTAATTATTTGATGCGTGTTGGTGTTTTTTAGTTCTTTCGTGTTGGCATCTTGATTTTATTTGATACTGTCCTCCGCATATTTCACATCTATGACTTGTTTTAATTATGTCTTCGTTTTTTGCTCTATATTCTTTATCGTAGTCTCGCTTCTTATTTTTAGTCTTTGCCGAGTATAATCTTTTACTTGCTAATACCTTTTCCCGGTTTTGTTCTTTGTATTCGTTCTGTTTTGCTAATATTTTGTCCTTGTTCCTATAATAGAACTCTTTTTTGCGTTGATTTATTGCCTCTCGGTTTTCTTCTCTATACCTGTCTTTCTTTTGCTTCAAGATTTCAGCATTTGCCTCTCTCCACTCTTTTGATTTGAGTTCTAAATATTCTTTGTTCTTTTCCTGATAAACCTTTTTCATTTGTTGTATTGTTTCAAAGTTGTCTTTGTAATACTCTTCTTTTGAACGACCAGCGACAACTCGATTTAAAGTACCAATTTGTTTAATCACTTCACCTTCTCGTTTTGTTAATTCCTGATTGTTATTGCAAGGGTATTCTTCATATAATTCAATATAAAACACGTCATACCCTAATTCAATCATCTTCTGATAAAGTTTGACATGATTACAACTATTGTAGTTCATATTGTTCTTATGTTCTGCCATTCGTTTGTGTATCGGGTGGCAAGTTGAACCAACATATATATCTGTTGTAATTGTGTTTCTAATACAATATATTTTCCCATTTTGATAGACCATACTATGGAAGATATTTATAAATATTATGTTGTCTTTAAATCTATGTCCTACATAATTTTATAAGTTATATCATGTCCTTCTTCTTTTCCTTCATCGTGAAAAGAACTATAAGAATGAGCAGTTAAAGGGTTTAATGTATGGTCATTTGTTGTAATTGCTGACATATCAAAAATTGAAATTGGGTCAAATGCACTTCTAAATCTTATGTCGTCTCCATAAGTTTTTTTCAAATTATATACAGGAGCACCATAAGTTGCAGTGCTAAACCTACCGTTGTAATTTTCATTCAAGGAAAGGGCAACAGAACCACCAAGAGAGTGCCCTTTTAAGAATTTAATGTTAGGATTATTCACACACACACAAACACACAAACACACAAACACACAAACACACAAACACACAAACACACAAACACACAACCACACAACCACACAACCACACAACCACACAACCACACAAACACACAACCACACAAACACACAACCACACAAACACACAAACACACAAACACACAAACACACAAACACACAAACACACAAACACACAAACACACAAACACACAAACACACAAACACACAAACACACAAACACACAAACACACAAACACACAAACACACAAACACACAAAACCACAAACACACAAACACACAAACACACAAACACACAAACACACAAACACACAAACACACATACACACAAACACCCAAACACACAAACACACAAACACACAAACACACAAACACACAAACACACAAACACACAAACACACAAACACACAAACACACAAACACACAAACACACAAACACACAAACACACAAACACACAAACACACAAACACACAAACACACAAACACACAAAACACACAAACACACAAAACACACAAACACACAAACACACAAACACACAAACACACAAACACACAAACACACAAACACACAAACACACAAACACACAAACACACAAAAACACAAACACACAAACACACAAACACACAAACACACAAACACACAAACACACACACACACACACACACACACACACACACACACACACACACACACACACACACACACACACACGCACACACACACACACACACTCACACTCACACTCACCTAACACACACACACACACACAACGTGCAAGCAATGGAACAAGCAGATTGCACAGACGCAAAACTTGAGCTCGCAGTCACCTGCTAGGCATCTGCTTCCTGAGGCTGTCAAAGATTGCTTAATCCTTGGCATCCATTCTCCGAAAGCCAGCTCAGAGAAGCTAGATCTGCCCGAGCCAAACAAACAACGCTAACGTCCAAACTCGCGTCCATATTTGTAAATTCGGTTTCGCGGCCACACACACCCATCCCCTTGAACAAAGTCATGAATTCCTATATTTCCCCTTGTTCTTTGAGAAACGATCCGCTCCCATTTCATCGTCTTATGCAGCACTCTTCAAGCGGGCTTGCAGATTGTTCCTATTCTGCCTATTCGGCTCCATCCTCCCGCAATCGCAGATTGGACCAACGGCCCCAAGGACACTCACAAAAGCGAAGGCACCGAGAGACAAAGAAACAAAGACTCAGAGTGGATGAGTGAGACAATTTGAGGCAAATTCCCAGCACATTCTGCTAGAGCAAAACGAGCCGCTCGAAACCAAATTGAAATTCCGAAGCCACACGGCGAACCAGGAGGCGCTTGAGCGATTGGGAGCCACGTTGCATCCAATTGCAAGGGCCGAGAGGGCCATTTCTCTAAGATCGACTATCCAAAGTGGTAAGCTGGTGGTAACCATGCCAACTGCCGGGGTTGCCAGGCGGCAGGCCGTTCTCGTCCAAGGCGCTTGTCTTTGCCCAGTGCAGGAGAATGCGAAAGCAGGGCAGGGACACCTGCGGTCTGTGAATACTTGGCAGGGATTGCAACAACCCTAGGTCCTGTCCTCACTGCACCCATGTTGTGCCAAATCGGACTTTCTCACCCCGTCTTTCGGCCTCCGAAAGCGGACCCAGCTTGGCTGCAAACTTTGCCCAGCTCCCCTCGGGGCATGCGGAGAAAGGAAGGGAAAGAAGTGGGAGAATCGCGAAACGCTTGCCGCACCTTCCAATTCGGAAGCACATCGCTTGCACATCCTGAGGCTCTTGCTTGCAGTGCTGGACACCGCTGCTGCAGCGGCGCTAGAGCCTCCCTGCTCAGATGGAGTCCGGCATGCTTCCCAGTAGCCTGCGAGCGGAGTTCAGCTTGTGCAGAATCTGAGGCTGGCAGCTGGACTGCCTTTGCTGCCTTTGCATCGGTTTCGACCAAGTTTTGGGTCAACTCTGGAAGCCGACAGAATCTCTTTGCCAAAAATAACCCACAGGCAAAGGAGCCTCTGCAAGCCGAACTGGAACAGGACGTCCCTTGCCAACGGACACTTTGGGTACCTCCACCTCCTCAACCTGCAGCCGTGAACGGAGATGCTCGCAGGCGATGCAAGGCACACAATTGTCGACAAGGAAGACAAGCATAGAGATGTCTGTCAAACCCACTTTCAGACAAGACAAATTTCAACCCGCTTTGACCTTTGCGACCAGTTCTGGCAACTTGAATTCTGAGGGTGGCACCACACACTCGCTACTGACAGGCCTCGTGTCCAAGTCGACCTGGTGGCCATTGGCAAAAGGTGCCCCAGATAGCATGCAGCTGAGTGGCGACTTTCAAGTAGCCCGCTTTCAAATCAAAGAGCCGGTCGACTGGCCTCTAGCACGCGCCGGAACGTCTCTCTACTAGGCCCTAAGCCCCTGCTCGTCACATGCATCCAGTGCATGCGGACTGCTCTGCCTCTCCTCCCCTCCCCGTTGGGCCAGGCGTCTTGCAGCCCAGGCCAGCCAGGTCCTTCACCTTCTTCGCACGGCTGTACTTTGCATATCCTGAGCAAACAGCTGACGTTCCCACACCAAACTACAACCCCAGCCACTACCCCATCCTATGCTTGCCTCAACAGGTGTAGCCAATTTACAGTTCAGTGATCCAAAAACTGCAGGCGTTCTTGGGAGGGGTCTGGCAGAATTTGTCTCAAAGCTCCGAGGCTCTGCGGTGCGCCTCCGTGCCCCGCTGCTTAGGATTTGCCACAAAGCGTAGCTGGTCCTAGCCAGAAAGACCCTGCTGGGACCAAAAGCCTGTGACCATAGCTTGGCTGGACTCGACTCTGAGTGAATCCAGCCGGGGGGGGGCACCTGACTGGCTGTTGACTCAGCATCAGCTGCTGCAAACTCGACTGAGCGCCTCTGGCAACAGTGCCAAAGGCCCCTCCACTTTCGCGACTTCGCCGGACTTCCTTCCCGACGCAGCTCATGGCAAATAAAATAGCACTCCACAAGAAAGCCAAGATCTCGGCAAATGCGCACGCGGTCCCGTGAAGCATCCGCTTGGATGAGGATTGCCTGAGATGGCCAAGGGAAAAGATCTGAGCTGTAAGCTGCAACTTGTGCCATCGCAGCTGAGGCTGCGCAGGTTGCATCGGCTTCTTCATGGCAAAGGCCTGGCACATTTGCGGCCCAGCCAGTGTCAAATGATCCCTCCCAGCCTTGACTTTCGCCAGGGCGCTCTTGCCGCGGTCGCTCTTCTTCTTGTTGCCCTGGGTCAGAGAAAGCACAGGAACTGATTTTCTTCCCGTTTGCGTCCATGCCTTCAGCTGCGGCAGCACGAAGCGACATAGGCCCTGGAACCGGCGCACCGCAGCTCGCCGCCTCAGCCAACACGGCAAGAGCAACATTGGCCCGTTCAAACAAGCCCCTCAAAACTTCGAATCGTTTAACTGGCATGCTTTGCCGATGGGAGCGATGAGCTGCCGACGACTTTATACCATCACCAGTCTGACTGATGAAGCGCACCTGCATCCCAGCATGTTCGTGAGAATGCAACGCTGAAACCTCGATCTTCGCGACAGTCCTGCATCGTTGAGCGTGTTTTCCGTCTGAGGACCAATTTGGCGTTTGGAACCAGGAAAGTATCTTGGGAGAAACGTCACGTTCGGAAACGATTGCAACCCATAGCTTACTGGCCAGCTTGCCTCGGTCGCGTGGTAGCGTTGGCTGTCGCCATTACCTAGCGTGGGTGAACGTCTGACAAGGGAGGCTTATCAAACTCAAAGCCACTGGCAGCCCTTTGCTAAATAATCCCGTCACATTCTCCAAAGCGCGCTCTGACTTCTAGACAGTGATCATTTCAATCTTCTGCCAAGCATCCCCCGACACTGATGAAAACCAAGAAGACATTAGAGCGCTCACAGACTCCGTCGTTGCCGAACCCAAGCAAACAAACAGATTTAGCAAACAACTGCGGCGAAGTAGTGCAGCAAGGATGCTGGGCGCAGCAATCAGAGTGGGGAAGAGCTGATGCAGCTGTTGGGCCCCGTACCACTCCTATCCGTTCCCCTTATTCAAAAAGAACACATACATGGGGAGGGACCTAAGAAAGCAGAAACTATCCAGGCAGGGCCTTGCATTAGAACCCCGCAAACGGCACCAGGGCAGGTGCAAGTCCTCCGTCTTGCGGACATCACCCGCTCGGGCATTGAATTTGCTCTGCAAACCGCCGCCGTTCGAGTAGGGGGACGTCATGCCTGCGCAATTGGGCCAACTAAGCTGAATCAAGAAAGGAGCTCCTTCATAGGCGTGCACATTGGAAAGCAACACGCAAGAGAATGCTGATGCATGTGCAGAGGTAAGCAAATATACACACACCCTCGCATTGGGAAACTCCCGGCCTGCATACATCCGGTAACGTAGGACCACTCTGTCCTGCAGTCTTCAAAGTGTTCAAGAAGAGTAAATGGTGTCCAACTGCAAGTCGTCTCGGTCCTTTGCAAAGTGCCTCACGGAGAATTCCGCATCCTGGCCATTGTTATGTAATTTGATTGGGTAATCCTTCAGGGTTCTGAATCAGCCCGGCCAGGATGAAAGTTTGATGCGTTCGACAAGCGCACTCTGAAGGATTGATCTACTGACCACTCTCAGGTTCCCATCGCCCCTGCAAAACGGAGGCATGCCTCCACGGCGTCTGGCAACCGCCGCAGCAGATCGTGCGCAGCATCGGGTCGGCAAATGAAGCCATGCAAATACCTATGCAGCAGGCAGGTGAGCAAACTGTCCAAGCTCGCACCGTGGTCGTGCGTGCTACCCGCGCTACAACCAGTACCACCAAAGGTTCCGACAACAATACTTTCTCCACAAATTACGCAATGCAATCGACCTGGAGCTTGTTGTTGACCGCATGTTGTTGCGATGCGCAGCTCTGCAAACTAGCTGCCCGTTCACCAGGCCGTTGCGGGTGGACACATCATCAAGACCTTGCAGCACAGAAAGCCCATCACCATGAGCCCTCTGCTTGCCGAGGGCAGCGGCCCCCGAACGATCCACATCGCCAAAGCCACTGGGAAACTTCACACATGCTGCCTAGCTGCTAATGAAGTGAGGGTTCTGACATGTGCTCAGTCCCCAGAGGTAGCCTCCAACGTCCTTAATGGCATGCTGCAATTGTCACTCCATCGACCAGGCATGCCGTGCCAGAAAAGCAACCCTTACAACAATTGCTGCAAAATGATTCGCGCTCTACTCCTGCATGCGCTGGTAGGCGTCGTAAATGATTTTGATGAAGGCTCCTCCACTCCCAGCTGAAAGCTGAACAACGCGCAAGGCAGACACTATGTTCTTTGAAGGAAACGTCTCAAAGAATTTGGCGCAGTGCTTGCCCAGACTTGAAAAAGAAAGCTCAGCCGGTGGCCCCCATGTTGCCGCTCCCTACAATTGAAAACAACCCAGGGCTCAGCATGCACAACGTACGGAAGACTCCCGAATGATCAGACGATTAAGAACTATTTGTCAAATGGGCATCCAACGTTCCGCTGAGACCAAACCTCGGCCTGGGGGCCTCGAAACTGAACGATCCTGGCGGAAGGAGCTCCATGCAAGCAGAGATTTTGCTGCCCTCCCGGATCTTCCACCTTGCCAGCAAGTCGGGGCTGCAGGGCATGGTCTTGAGCGTGCACGAAAAATCTATATGTGTGCACAGGCAAATGTGTGCAAATAAATGTATACACACACACACACATATATATATATATGTGTGTGTGTTTTGCATTTGTAGACAGATACATCTGAAAACTCCAAAAACAATCTAGGAACATGATGACTGCCTTTGCCACGCCCAAACAAAACACAAAGCCTTTATGTTCACAAGCTTTGGCACAGCGAGAGGAAACCAAACTGGAACCTTGTACACCAAAAACGTGGATCTACGGCCAAGGGAACTTCGAGGTTCTCTGCATGGCTTGTGAAAACATATGAGGCAAATTTGCTAGTGTGCATTTTGGGCATCGCACCTCCTTCCAGAGCGGGCTAGCCCATGGGAGAACATATGCAAGTGCTGAGTCTGAATGGTAGACGCCCAGTGTGCTGCCAAGAATCTGAATGCCTTCCATATCATCATCCAGACTTACCACATACGTTCCAGCAGGGAAGAACTTGTAAATAAAATTTCCTCAGGCAACATGCAACAAAGGCCAAGAGCACGCACGGTACAACCAGTGCGCTAGCGGACAATCCCTCCCGTCTGCGCAAGTATGTTATCACCCAATTGCCTGTGATCTCAAGCCAGGCGCGGCTGTCACGAATGCCCGGCAAAGAAACCTGAATTCGAACTTCAGCCCACTCTGACTCCTGGCAGGCCAAATGGATCTGAGTCGTTCCGCGTAAATACTGCTCGTGAGTCCACAGCCTGTGGCATCCGGGCCTGGATCGCTTTGCGATACTCCTGTTCTTCCTCTTCGTTCGCCACGAAAAGAGTTACTTTCTGCTTGGGCACGCCTTCCCTGACAGCTGACAAGATTGTCAATTTTGCCTGCATAACGGCTGGACCTGCATGTTGCACGGCATCGCATGGGCCTGGAGAGGAAGGCCAACGTGTGCTCCAGTATGAAGGGCCGACTCGAAGTTTGGAAGCGTTTTTTCCGGGTGACCTGGCAAAGCAAACGAGCTTCCAGCGAAGTCACTGGACACAACATACGAGCCCGCCGCCTCTTGCGTCGAAAGCCAACGACGGTAAGTCGGCACGACCACCTAGCAAACGCGTGGTGATGATTGCACACAATTAGGTAAAACTCGCCGATTTGTAGTAGGTGACACAAATACAGCGAGTCCGAAAGCATTGCGAAGAGCTCTTCCTGAAAAATCGGTAGCCTTATCGCGCAACCAAATACATGCGAGGAAAAGCGCACGAGAAATCATGCATAGCAAGAGACGACAAAAAACACGTCAAGCAGTGCACATACCCGAGAGCCCATGCATAGCAAGAGACACGAGAGCACATGGGCGCGCACGCAAAGCAACATGTGCAATGGCCCATGATAGCCCATGCAAAAGCACGCGACCCGTGAGGCAGCTGCCGCCCGAAGGCCCACCGCAGCGGGCATGCCCAAGTCATTTCAGGAATCTCGGCTAGCTGTGTGTGTGTGTGTTTTGTAGTCTTCCCCTTTTGGCCTCGCATGGAGTGCTTCGCGCGACATGGACGGTCGTCCGATGTGCCGTGGACATGGCGGGCGAGGCGATGCCTACAGTGGCACGTGCGCAGAGACATTTTGCCCTCCTCCGGTATACAACTTTTGGCTGACCTGGTGGGGCAGGGCGTAGCTAGCGGTCGACGCAACCCCTGTCAGCGTTGGACGCTGGCCCAGCACGTCCACGAGCGCCGTGTCAAGGGAACAGCTCTCCGCATCGTTCACCGCGCCACCTACTACCATGAGCAAGCCTGCCACTTCGTCAAGGCGCCGGCGCATATCCGCCTACCAGTGCCGGGGCCAACAGTGCTCCAAGGCGTGAACTGCGCACGGGAGGGCCGTCCTTCCCGAGTGGGCTGACCATTGTGGCATTGATAGCGACCCGAGAACCATGCAGGATTCCAATGCGGCGCCGCGGCGTCCACACACCACGCAGACATGCATAGCAACACGCCCGCTTGCGACAGCAGCAGCAGCAGCAGCAGCAGAAGCAGCAGAAGCAGCAGCACCAGCAGCAGCAGCAAGAGCAGCGCGTACAGTAACGCAAGGAAGGAAAACGTGAATCATGTGTGAAAACCTTGGGGAACTCGGGCTGCGAACGAAGCCAACAGCCGGGTCGACGACCAAGAGCTGTAGCAGGTCTCACACGCCCGACTGCTGCGGCGTCTGACGGAAGGCATGACATTGGCCGGAATGCACAGCACTCCGCTGGAAGGAGCCGACGCCGTCCACTAAAAAAAAAAGTGAAGCTGGGGCCCAGGTGGGGCCCGCCAGCGCGGAGAGAGAAAGAAAGCAAACTTTTGGGGCCAATAAGCCTCATCAAACGCCAAGCCAAACTACACCGTTGCCACAAATCACCAACACACCCCCGTGAGGTTTCCTTTTTTCCCTTCGCGCATTTTTTTTTTGCCGGCATGGCGTGCATTATGAGAAGGCGGGGAGCAAGGCGACCCGCTCATGCCGGCATTGTTTGCACTCGCCATGCATCAAGCGCTTGTCGCCCTGCAGCCGGAGCTCCGCCCGGAGGAGCGTTCCCTTGCCTTTTTGGATGACTTGTACTTGACAGCGCAGCCTGATCGCATACAACCGCTGTTTCAGGCTGCGTCCCGGCGCCTGTATGAACGTGCCCGCATTTCCCTTAATCACGCAAAAACACGTGTGTGGAACGCAGCCGCAGTCGAGCCGCCAGGCCTGGCGGACATCAGTGCAGCGGATGTGTGGCGTGGCAATGCTCAGCTCCCCGAGGCAGAGCAAGGGATTACCGTGCTAGGAGCCCCTTTGGGCGGAAATGCATTCGTGCGGGCCCAGCTCGACGCAGTGCGCAACAAACAACTTCGCCTCCTGCAGGTCCTCCCGACCCTTCCTGACCTGCAGGTCGCTTGGCTGCTGTTGCTGTACTGCGCGTCGCCGCGGTCCAACTATGCACTTCGTATCATACCCCCAGAACTCACCGATCTTTTTGCCATTGACACGACGCTGCAGTGCAGAGATGTTTCAGTGCAATGCTGTTTGGAGAGGACGGGGGGGCGCTCCCGGACACGGCCAGTCGGCAGTCCCAACTTGCCTTCCGCCATGGTGGACTAGGGCTGCGTTCAGCCCGGTTGCATGCACCCGCGGCGTTTTGGGCCTCGTGGGCTGACAGCTTGTCGGCGATCCAGCGCAGAGATCCCGACCTCGCGCAACATATTGTACGCCAACTTGAGCCGGATGTGCCTTGTTGCCGTGTCCTGGACACGCTCAAGGCAACCGTGACCCTGCTCGCTCGGCAGGGGTTTGAGGCCCCTCAGTGGCACCAACTCCTTGGCGACGATGCGCCGCAACCACATGATGTTGAGGACGATGCCCCTGGCATCGGGCGGGGGTGGCAGAAAGCAGCGTCGGCAGCTCTCGACTTGCAAAGGGCGGCTGCCCACAGCGACAACTTGGATGCAGCCTCTGCAGCCATGCTGCTGTCCCAGTCCGGACCATGCTCAGCCCAGGTCTTCTTGATGCTCCCCGTTTGCCCGGAGTTGATTTTGGAGCCCGCGCATTTCCGTGTGTTGCTGTTGCGACGCCTGCGCTTGCCCTTGCCTTTCGTCCCTGCGCGATGCCGGTGTGGAAGGGAGCAGGACGCTCGTGGCGATCACCGCTCTGCATGTCCGCGATCTGGTGTCTTGCGAGCACGGGGCGGCCCACTTGAACGGGCGGCAGCGCGCATTTGTTGTGAAGCAGGGGCCGTGGTTGCTATGCACACATTGGTCAGGGACCTCAATGTCGGCAGCGTGCCCGGAGATGACCGGCGGATTGAAGTCATAGCCAATGGCTTACCCCTGTGGGGTGGCATGCAACTTGCTGTGGATACCACGCTGGTGTCGGCCTTGTCCTCTACAGGTGCCCCGCGGCGCTACCAGAACAGAGCCGAGGGCGCAGCCCTGCGCCAAGCCCGACGGGCCAAGGAGCGCACATACCCGGAGCTCCTTCGCCCTGACTCGCGCTGCAGGCTGGTGGTCCTTGCGCTTGAGGTTGGCGGGCGCTTCAGCCCGGAAACCGTGGACTTCGTGCAGCGGCTGGCGCGGGCGCGTGCGAGAAGTGTGCCGCCTCGTGTGCGCGGCGCCGTGTCGGCTGCCTTTGCCCGGCGCTGGTCCTCCTTCTTGGCCGCGGGCGCGAGCCGGGCGTACGCTGCCAGCCTCTTGGCCTTGCCCGCCCACTCGGCCGCAGGTGTTATAGGAAACATGCACTGCTCCAACCTAAAGCAACCCAACCCTTGATACGAACGAGACGCGCTCTCCTTTTGTAACCGGGTTGCGCTGGAGTCTCTAGCTGACGCAGAGCGGTGCACTGCCGTGCACGGCTTCAGCTAGGGAAGGCTCTATTAACCCCCTGGTGAAACGTATGCATCACGCTGGAGTTAAATCCTCGATTGATTCTTCGCACGGCGGTGCCGAGGAGTTGTAACGAACCTTAGTCTGGGAGTCCCGTGGATTGGTTCCTAAGGTTATCCCGGAGCACTGCGGTGCTTGGCACTGCGGCGCCAGTTTAGCTTGACTGTCAAGCCAATGTGAGGGCACTTAAGTGCCCTGGACAGCGGTCTGTACACAGCGGTATGACAAGGTGAGGTGAATGTACCTCAGTGTGCGGATTGCTGGACGCTGCGGCGTCGAGCAATTGATCTCGGTGCCTGGCCCAGCGGGGCCGGGCACCCGCCACTGAGTGGCGCGCGGTTGGGCGTCCAACGCCTTAGTAACCACAATGAATGATCATTGCGGCACATATAAGGCTCGCGGCTCGCATGTGCTTGTGCGAGCACAAGAGTAAAGCCGCTTGCCTTAGTCAGAAGGGAGGGTGGGTGGGTTTCAAACATGGAAACCGCATGGTTGTTCAGCTTGGAGCAGAAATGGCCACAAGCGGTGTAGATTCACATGCCCCTATAACACGGGGGAACAAACAACCCCTAGCGTTATAGGAAACATGCACTGCTCCAACCTAAAGCAACCCAACCCTTGATACGAACGAGACGCGCTCTCCTTTTGTAACCGGGTTGCGCTGGAGTCTCTAGCTGACGCAGAGCGGTGCACTGCCGTGCACGGCTTCAGCTAGGGAAGGCTCTATTAACCCCCTCTTTAGTGTCCAGCGCAACCCGGCCTTCGCTAAGCTCCCCCACTTCAGAGCGGGTTGCGTGAGCCTGGCGTCGCGACATGTGGGAAAATGTAAAGGCATGCGCATGCTGCCTTTGTTTTCATTTAACTGGAGAAAGGCGCGCTATTTGTCCAGTGCCCGGCCGTGCTCAAGCAGCTGTGCAAGGCAGTGTGGGCTGAAATCCCCTTGTGGCAGTGCGGTGCTCGGGCCTCCACGGTGCATCGGCAGGATGCAGCGTCAATCGTCGGCTCGAGTCATTGATGTTTTCAGGGGTAAAGCGGTGCCGGTGCTGAGACTGGTTGGCAAAGCGTGACAGCCTGTTTCGGCTGAGGTCATCGGCCCACCCATTGGCGGAGCCTGCAATGTGTGTTGGCTGCAACACCACATTGTGCGAATGCGCCCAAGACGCGATGAGCTGCAAAAAGACCTGCATAGGCCAGGACGTAGTAAACATTTTGTTAATGTCGGCTTCTGTTGCCGAATTATCGGTGCCCGATGGCAACGTAAAATGATAGTGTCCCTGGCCTGAAGTTGCATGGGCTACTTGTAGTAATGCGAATTGGGCTATGGTCTCAAAGCATGCTATGTAGCGCTGTGCTGGCTTGGTCAGAAAAGGCCAAGTTTGCCGAATGTCCGACATGGACCATGTTTCTCCAAACCATGCAAATGCGTTGCTGGTGAGGAACCATCCGCCTATCCCTACGGTGTCTCCTTCTGCGCAAGCGTCAGCGGCGGCTAGGCAGGGCAATAATGGTGGCAGGGCCAGAGGAACAGTCGGGGTGCTAGCAAAGCACCGCGACAGCCAATTGAGACAAACCTTACTGTCCTTGCGTAGGGTGACGGTGGGCGAGTTTGGGTCTGAGATCCTAACCCATGTCGGCTTATGCGACGCTGGCACGGCGGGCAGGTCGGCTCTGCAGCGCACTGGCTTGCCTGAGCACTCAATCA